TAACGACAACAATCAGTTTACCTTCATGCGAAAAAACTTCGACATCCTCAGCTCGGACGGCACATCGCCATCGCAATCGCCTCGCGCACGCCCCGCATCTCGGAGGAGGAAGGGGACGAGGAGGGGAGGGAAGATGAGGCAGAGGAAGAAGGAGAGGAGGAGGAGGAGGAGGGAGAAGGAGGAGGAGGAGGACTTCCGAGGACGAGGTGGTTCCTACTCTTCGTTCGAACTGTTACGCCACCATCCTGCTCTTGCGGCCTCGGCGCGTGACCCTGAACGTTCACGCCCCCAGGCGCTGCCGCCCCCCATGCTCGCATCCTCCACCTGCCCCTCCCACGCCCTCTCCAGGAACCCCTGAAGTCTCGACCCTCGATCCCTGGAGCCCCTGGAAGTCATCCGTCCTTTTTCTTCCCCTCCTCCTCCACATTATCTACGCTCTCCAAGAATAGCGATTATTTAATACTGAAGGTTCAACAGGGACTCTTGGAAGCCCCAGAGCGGCGATGCCGAAACGAGGGCCCAGTCTCGAGTAAAGGGTGAGGAAGAATCAAACGGGAGCGACGATGGAGGACGGAAGGGGAAGGGAGGGGGGAGGAGGGAGGCAGGAGGAGGGAGGAGACAAGGGGGGGGGGGGGGGCGAAAAGGAGGAGGAGGGAGGAAAGAGGGACGGGAGAGGAAGGAGGGAGGAGGGAGAAGAGGAGGGGGTGGAGGGAGGAATAGGGAGGAAGAGAGAGGGGGGGGAAAGAGGGAGGAAGGGGGAGGAGGAGGGGGAGGAAGAGGAGGAGGGGGAAGAGGAGGAGGAACAGGAGGAGGAGGAGGAGGAGGGAGGACGAGGAGGAGGAGGGAGGAGGGAGGAGGGAGGAGAAGGGGGTCCCCCACCGCTCCCAACTCCGCCCGACACTCCAGCAGGGTGTGTTCGCCGCCCGAAGCGGCACCGCAGCCTGGAGCGCCTCGCGGCAGCGGCTCGACGCTGCCAGATACGGGCCTGCATGCCAGGGCGAGGCTCATTCTTGGCCGCAGCTTCCAGGGACCGCATGATATGCTGGCGTTCCTGGCGCTGCAACGGAGCGTGGAGATCGTGAAACGCTCCTGGGTCCAGGAGGGAGACTACGCTCTGCCCTCCGCCAGTGTGGAGGTCGGACACCAGAATGTGAGCACGAATCCATCCGTGGCGAGCGAGGAGGCATCGGGCCAAGCGGACATCCTGGCGAGAGACACAGCGTGCGGCCGAGCGAGCAACCATGACCCGCGAAACCAACGCCCTCGGTTGAGCATCCAACTGTAAATCCCGCACTACTTTGAGCGCTACCTGTCTGCAGAGAGTAGCATAGTGAAGAGCCTCGGGGGGCTCGCAGCGGTCAAAGTCGATAAACGACTCATACTCTGCCACGAGCTTTGGGTACAGAGAATCAGCGACGACATGACGCAGAAAGGGACGAGAACGAAAGGGGGGAGGCGAAGAGGAATCCTTAGCCCGTGGCCGAACTTCCATCGTGAGAATGACAGGGAGTGTGGTCACTGACACCTCGAAGAAACATCTCGCGAGGCTCCTCGTAACGTGTAGTCGCTTGTCGGCCCTCGCAGGGAACCCACGGCGGCGTCGCCGTGAAGAAACGATCGACACAAGCCTCGGAAAAGGCCCCCTGGTGCCAACAAGTTGGGGCCTCGCAAGGGAGTTCCGTGAGCTGCTTCCAACTCGCCCTCCAGGTGCTGTCCCCCGCTCGCGGCTGGCGCGCGGAACCAGGACGAGGAGGAGGAGCGCACGTAGCTTGAATCCACGGTGATCCAGCTACCGCCAGCGCTCTAACACCGCATTGCGGCGAGAGCAGCGGCTCGTATTTCGTAGTGGTATGCAGGCGAGGGGGCACGGGGGCCGCTCGCCATGTCAGCTTTCAGCTTATGATAGATATGGAAGCTCAACACGACAATGTAGGAGGAGGAGGAGGAGGAGGAGGAGGAGGAAAGGGCAAAACGGGAGGAAGCCTTGGGCGGGAGCACTGGTTTTGTCCGGACGGGGGCTGTCGGCGGCGGGCAAGAGCATCGCCTTGAGTTAAAAAAAAGGAAGTTCTCGAGCGGGAGCGTTGTTGTTGCTGGGGGGCGGCGCCGATGAGAGAAAGAGTAGCGCGCCTGTCCAAGGTAAAGCGGGAGGAAGTCTCGAGCGGGAGCGCTGGTTTTGTTGAGACGGCTGCTTTCGGGGCCCTGAGTAAAAAGAGGAAGTGTCGAACGGGAGCGTTGTTGTTGTTGTTGGGGGGCCATTTTTGGTGGTCCCCCAAACCGCCTGAGAGTGAGCCTCATTTTCAATGAAAATGCAGCCGGCGCCTCGGCGAGAGCGCCAGGGCGCCTGTAAGGGATCCAACGCTAATAATTGTTTAGTAATGAACATTCAACAGCAACAGCAACACCGACAATCAGTTTACCCTCACGCGCGATGTTTCCACACGAAGCATGTGACCATCATGATAACCATCCCCATCATGGGGGACGATTGTTCTACAGCGGGGTCCGTTATTCCCATTCCCAGATCTCCCGCCCAATGAGGTCTTGCAAAAACCTCCTCCGAGGAATTTCAACATATCCCGCCTCGAATACGCATGCCCGCGCCTTGCTGCGCCGATGCGAGACCGCCCCAGCGAAGGGTAAAGCACAAGGAAGTATCGGACGACAGGATTGCCTTGGTGGTGATGGGAGCTGTCGGCGGCGAGGCAAGGACCTGGCCCTGAATAGAAAGGGAGGAAGGCTCGAGCAGGGCCACTGTTGTTGCTGGGAGCGGCGCCAATGCTGAAGAGAGTAGGGCGCCAGTCCAGCGTTAAACAAGACGAAGTCTCGAGCGGGAACGCTGGTTTTGTTGGGACGGCGGTTGTCGGCGGCGAGGAGGAACACCGCCTTGAGTAAGAAGGGAGGGAGTCTCGAGCGGGAGCCGTGGTTTTCTCGGGACGGGGGCTGTCGGCGGCGAGCAACACCAACGTCCTGAGGAAAAAGGGAGGAAGCCTCGAGCGGGAGCGTTGTTCTTGCTGGGAGCGGCGCCAATTCAAAAGAGAGCACCCAGCGTAAAACGGGAGGAAGTCTCGGGCGGGAGCGCTGGTTTTGTCGGGACGGCGGCTGTCGGCGGCGAGCAAGAGCACCGCCTTGAGTGGAAAAGGGAGGGAGTTCTCGAGCGGGAGCGTTGTTGCTTCTGGGGGGCGGCGCCGATGAGAGAAAGAGTAGCGCGCCTGTCCAAGGTAAAGCGGGAGGAAGTCTCGAGCGGGAGCGCTGGTGTTCAGACGGCTGCTTTCGGAGGCGAGCAAGAGCACCGGCCCTGAGTGAAAAAGGAGGAAATCTCGAACGGGAACGTTGTTGTTGTTGGGGGGCCCGTTTGGGCGGTCCCCCAAATCGCTCGAGCGTGAGCCTCATTTTCAATGAATATGCAGCTGGCGCCTCGGCGAGAGCGCCAGGGCGCATGTAAGGGGTCCAACACTAATAATTGTTTAGTAATTAACATTCAACAGCAACAACAACAACAACAACAACAACAACAACAACAACAACAACAACAACAACAACAACAACAACAACAACAAATTTCCCGCGCGGCGGCAGCGGCGGAAGGAGCTCATCCCGTTGCCACCCACCTCTCCCTCCGTCCTATCTCCCTCTCCACCCCTCTCTATCTCCTTCTCTCTCTCTCTCTCTCTCTCTCTCTCTCTCTCTCTCTTTCACTATCCGTATATATATATACATATATCCATCTCCCTCTCTCTCCTGTCTGCAGCCTTTTTTTGGCGTCGCGCCCCGCCGGCTCTCGCACGCATGGCCGACCGCTAGCGCTGCGGACAAAAGGAAGGCCTGCGGCCGTTTTGGTCCGAGCCCCCCGCCGTAGCGGAGCCGCTCGTGTCGCGCCGCTCGACCGCCCTCTTTAGGCAAGCGCGTTCTGCTACTCGCAAAGTCACTACTCGCAAATTGCCTGGATCCGCCGTGGGGTATTTACGATATATTACATCGAGGCGAACGTGGGTTTTTCGGACGTTTGCGAGTTGGCACTTTGCGAATACTGGAACGCGCTCGGCGACTCCTGGCGGTCGGGTGCGCCCGCTCTGATCACGGCCGCGGCCGAGATGCTCCCCGGTACGAGCGGCACTCCGCCACAGCTCGCCCGAGATCGAGCACATTCTGCTTTGCGTTTCGCGCGCCCAGTCTCTTCAGGGAAACAAGAGAAAGCAGAAACATGCACTTCCGGAGCTACCCGCAAAATTGTTGGATCGGCGCTGGGCCCCCTTGCCGGCGCCTCCAGCGCAGCCCCTGGCGCGCTCCGCCTCCGACGTCCATCCACCACAAGCCGACGTTGCCCCAAACATTCACATATCGGGCGAACTGCGTCGCCGCCGTGACTCCCCGCTTTGCGGGCCCACTGGTTGCTGTCCCTGGCCGCTGGCATTTCCCGCAACCGAATGACAAGGTTGGCCAGTCGAGGCTGATTTGCTTACACCCCCTCACCTCCATTACTCCAACTACGGCGATGCTCTGCCTGCTCCTCATCTTTCCCCCTTTCCCCCCTTCACATCCACCCTCTCCATCCTGCTGCAACGTCGAATCCTTGAGGGAGGACAATAGACCACAACAACTCAAAAACGAGAACCCCTAAAGAAGGCCCCACGATAAGACCCAGCACGTCGACAAGTGCCACTAGAACTTCCCGACATCCTGCCCGCCCTCCACCCCCCACCTTGCCCCCCAGCCCCCCCCAGCTCCTCCTAGATCCTCCAAGGTCCTAGGTGCTATATCGCTCTCCGTCTTCCTCCGATTACATTCGCCCCGTCTACGTTTCGCGGGTCGGCGGAAAGGCGTGAGCATCTTGAGCCACTATGCTGTGTCAAGTCAGACCCTGAGCTCTCGACCCACTCTGTGGCATGTCTGAGGGATCCCCAGCCTGTCCTGGGGCGCGTTCTGACCAGGACTTCGAGGGGAATCCAACAGTGGCACCATCTTCCTCCCGGCCGCCCCGCTTTCGTGCGCTGCCCGGAGGCCTTCTCCCAAGCCGCCTCCTGCTTGTCCTTCTCCTTCGCCTCGCGCTCCGCCTTCTTCTTGAGCGCCTCGTCCGCCCCCTTGAAGGCCAGCGCCGCTTCTCGCTTGGCCTTCTCCGTCGCCTCGCGCTCCGCCTGCACCACCGGGAAGACATCCACACCCACGGCTTCGCTATTTTGAGCGGGCGCCTCCACCCCGCGGCCCGATGCTGCGAACAAATGCAGCACCGTGAAAAATCAGTCGCCAGATCGATCTGTGGTGGCACCCTGGCCCCATATTGCTCCCATCGTGCTTATGGACCACATCCCGGAAATAATTTCGAGCGCCCGGAAAAGTGTCAAAAGAGTGTCGGAAGAGTGTCGAAACAGAGTCGGCCGAGTGTCCCCCAGTACCCGACACGCGAAAACCATCGAGGTTCAGTATTTTTGGGGGGCTCGGAATTCTTTCTGGTGGTCAAGGCTAAAACAGCTGGGAACATCACAACCCCTGGCCCGAAACGAGGCGAGAGCGCCAAGCGTTTGAAAGCACTGCAGCGCCCGGACCTCGGGGTTCCACGCCCACGCCTGCCAGAGTCCTGCCCCAGGACCCTGGGGAGCGGTGGGCGTGGGCATTCCCTCGCGCCCGCGGGGCGGGTGAATGTCCGCGTCCGCCACTCCTCGATCGGCTGTTGCCAGATGAGCGACGAGCACAAAAACGGGTCTTGCGCGAGATGGCACAGCGACCTTACGCCGCGGCTTGCGCGGGCCGCCGGCGCGGCACGCTGCATTGGAAGCGAGGGCGTTCACGCGCGACCTTACGCGGGCAGCTTACGCGGGGATGCCGGAGCAAACGACCCCGTTTTTTACGTCGCTCGGGTGTCCCCAGGATTCCCAAGGAAGGCCTCCACAGCCTCCGGAGCTCCCCTCACGAGGCCCAGAGGGGCCCAGCCAGGGGCTCCAGAGTGGAGAGAAGCATGGGGGCGCCTCGGGCCAGGACACCCTCTCGAGTATGGCATCGACTACAGAAGTGGGTTACCTCAAGGCTGTCTTTTCCTTCGAATCTACGTACTCATATTGCAGGTCCGACGAAAATCTCAATTATGGAGTGAATCGGTGGTCGACCCCCTGCTCGAACCTTTTAGCACCCCCCAACTCGAGGCCCTGGGGCACGTTTCCGAGACGGTGGCCACGACGACCCGATCCAGAGATCCCGGCTCCGAAAAAAGCCTGCGCCCCTTCTTTGGCGGCGAGCACCAGGGGGCGGGGGGGAGGCGGGGAAGGCTTCTTAGAAGGAGGCTGCTGCTTCTGAAAAGGCGCAAGCCTACATCTACAGATGAGCCCCGCGCCTTCTAAGAAGCAGCCTCCTTCTAAGAAGCCTACCCCCCGCCAGCCCCAACGAGCGAAGACCTCAACTGAGCGACGATCACAAACAGGTCTTACGCGAGATTACATAGCGCCCCTACGCGGCGGCGTAGGCGGGCCGCCAGCGCAGCACGCTGCATGGGAAGCGAGGGCGCTTCCGCGCGACCTTACGCAGGCAGCTTACGCGCCAATGCCGGCGCAGTCGACCTCGTTTTTTTTTCCGCGTCGCTCAACTGGACTTCGACCTTCTTCGACGGGCGCCCCCCCTCCCTCGACTCGGGGTCGACGATGGGGGCGAATAGCCCAGGGCAGAGCAATACATTTATCTGGGGGCGCCGATAGTCCATGCTTTCGGCGAGGCTCCCGGGCGAATACGTGTCCGGGCCGGGCACCGAAGGGCGTCATCGCCTAGGCATATTGGCGAATACTTGCAGTAGCGCATAGTATTCGGTGCCTACGGTGTCATCGCGACGTACTCCCCGTGTCCAGCTGATCGCCGGCTTGGCCCCTAGGCTATACAGCCGCTCCCGAATGCCCACCCCCAGGCTATTGGCCACCGACCCCCAATCGGTCCCCGGACCCCTCCCCCCTCCCGCGGTCCACCTGGTGCAGTTTCTCATCCCCGGACCCGTTTCTGACGGTCCTGGGGCCAGAATATATCCCCCAGAGGTCGGAAAACGCAAACCAACCAACAAAAAAAAAGAACCCAGAACCTCAGACCCCCAGACTCGAGTAGGACATCGACTGCAGAATTGATTTACCCCAAACGTGTTTTGTTCGTCGACTCTACAGACGAATACGCAGCATGCGCGTAGATCTAGGGGGCATTATACGTCTGTTCCCCGTCGATTCGACAAACAAAAATAAATTCTGGGGCCAAGCAGTTCTGCAGTCGATCTCTTACTCGAAGACGGCTCCACACACACACACCATCTACAGTGCATTCTACGTTTCTGATTCGTAGATTCGACATGAACGAATTCTGGGTCAACCAGTTCTGCAGTCAATCTCCTACTCGAAGACGGCCGCCTCATCTACTATGCACTCAACGTTTCTGGCTCGTGTAGATTCGACATGGAGACAACCACTGCTGGGGTAAAACCGACTCTGTAGTCGATCCCCAACTCGAAGACGGCCCCGATCCCTCCTTCTCCTCCTCCACCTCCTCCTCCTCCTCCTCCTCGAAGACGGCCCCGATCCCCCCCCGCCTTCTTCTTGAGGTTCCGCTCCCTCCGCGCGGCCGCCTCTCGGGGCTGCTCGCAAGGAGTGATCCCCGGGCAAAGGGCAGCCTCTGGTGCGCGGCGTTCGGCGGGAGGGGGGGGCGCATCGCGCTCGGTCTGGGTCGGGCATGTCCTCCTACAAGCCGGTTTAAAACGAAAAATGAAGAGCAGTCAAAAAATAATCGACAATAGTCCATGTAAATATATCTATCTATATATAGAGAGAGATGTGTGTCTGTAAATAGTCCCTAGATCCTGATTTTACTCTTTTTGAACATTCCTCCTGTAGAGGAACATACCCGACTCAACGCTCGGCGATCGGGTGACCCCAGTGCTGGGGGGCGCGTCAGGGGCCGTAGGGGGGGGGGGGGGGGGGGGGGGGGCGATAAATGGGGAGCAGCGAGGGCTGCCGAAAAGGGGCCCCCGTAGGGCCCCTGAAGGGACCCTTTAGGGCCCAGCAGGAAGCCTTGTGGGCCCAAGACAAGAAATGACACGGGGCGCGTTCAGACCAGAGTTTCGAGGCGGATCCAGCGGTGACGACGAGGGCCTCCCGGGAGGCCACCAAGGGGGAAGACGAGAGAGGGGCAACGGTCTGGGTCCCTTCTGCTCCTCCAGGAGCCCCCCACGAACTCGCGCCCAGTCGCTCCGACGAAGAAGGGCCACTCTCTTGCGTGCAGCCGAGCCTCCGGGGACTCCTGCGCCTGCCCCTCGGCCAGCGGCGGCGGCGCCTCCGCCCCGGGCGCCCCGCCGGGGCTGGCGCGCGGCGCCCCCGCGTCGTCCTGCAGGATCGGGCAGATCCCGGAGCGGGAAGCCGCCAGACGCGGCCAGGACGAGGACGCATCCGCGCGAGGATCGATCGAGAATCTCTGAGCTCTGGCAGCTCTTGAATTGTATCGAGCGCCGCGGCCTTCTCAGAGCGTTCCGGAACGCTCTGGTGAGCGTTCCAGAACGCTCTGGAGCAGATCTATCCTCGTCCTGGCCCCGTCCGAGATCGGGAAACCGGATCGGATCGGAATTCGGGGACCAAGCAATGCCAGAAGCAAAAAAAACAAAGAGGTCCACCCCCCGACGTCCTGCAGGATCGGTCAGCGCTGGATCGGGAAAACCGGATCGGATCGGACATCGGGAACTAAGCAGTAGCATAAGCATAAATTTTTGGAGGTCCGCGCGGATTCCTCGGATCGGCGCTGGGGCACCCTGGCGGCGCCTCCTGCGCCGCCCTTGGCGCGCTCCGCGCGCCAGGCAAAGGGGTCCAGCGCAGATCCGACAAATCCGCGCGGACCGCCGTAAAAGTATGTTTATGCCTTTATTCCCCCAAGAACGTGCGTCGGTTCGAAGCTGGGGCCTAGGGCTCTGGTCGTGATTGCAGCAACGTCGGATCTCAGGGTTCTTGCTTGCTTCCGGTAAGAGTATAGTTTAACCGATCCCCATCCCCAGCGGCGTGGCCTGGGCCCCACTGGCCGATTTACCCCCTAGACAGGGATAGGCCGTTCCCTTCGGGTTTCGAGGAGTGCATCCCAAACTGGGGGGGAAATTTGGCGGGGGTCTCGAAGGGGATGGGGATGCGGATGGGGATCGGATAAACGATACTGACGGTAACGGTCATTGCCCAGGGGGGCGGGGCCCGGGTCGCAGTAACGCTTGGGCGAGGTGGTGCAAGTCAGGGCGGAGGTCCGCCGCGGTCGCCAGTGTGCGCGCGAACGCGGGGGTCCAAGCCGCCCCCCACGCACGGTCGTTACCGTTACCCAGGGAGGGGGGGGTAGCCTGGGTAACAGCCGTTACGCTTAAGTCGGGTTTGTTCCCTACAGGCGGAGTTTGGACGAAACCAATTACCCCAGTGCGACCCTACCTAGAAGTTGGAGCCCCTAGGAAAGCAGCAGTAGTTGCTATGCTATGCTATGCTGCTATGCTATGATATGCCATGCTATGCTGCGCTATGCTATGCTATGCCATGCTATGCTGCGCTATGCTATGTTATGATACGCTATGATATGTTATGCTATGCTAAGCTATGCTATGTCATGCTGCGCTATGCTATGCTATGATATGCTCTGCTAGTATATGATACGCTATGATATGCTATGCTGCGCTGTGCTATGCTGTGATGTGCTCTGCTGCGCTATGATATGCTATGGTATGCTATGCTGCGCTATGCTATGCTATGCTGGGCTATGCTATGATATGCTGTGATGTGATATGCTATGCTACGCTATGTTATGCTATGATGTGCTATGCTATGCTAAAGCTCAGCGAAGCTAAGGTGAAGGTAAACTACGCTAAGCTAAGCTAAGATGAGGCTAAGCTAAGCTAAGATGAAATCAGCTAAACTAAGATGAGATAAGCAACGCTAAGCTAAGGGGACGTAACTGGGGGAACCGCGGGGCGGATACCGGGGGAACCGCCCGGGGCGATTTCCACTGCCAGTCCCTTTAAGCCCACAGAGTAAGAACCCTTCTAGGCAGAGCCTAGGTAGGGAATAATCAAAAATACCATAAATATTCTCAGACATAGCAAAAACATCGTCCCCTGACTATTTTTGATTATTTGGGAATTTTCCTCCTGTAGAGGGACAGGCCCGACTTAACGTTACGCACCAAAATATGTGAAAACAATCTCCCGGAACGCAGCGGCACGGAGACGAAATCGAATCAGGTCAGCCGCGACAGGCCTAGTGGAATCGATATCGAATCTGCCCGATCGGCAAAAAAATAGGCCCTGTCCCGTGGGGAGAGGCGAAGTCCGACCCGCTGAAGTTCCAGCAGATTAAGTCCCCTTGGCTGCAACTGGACTTGCCCCAAGCGGACACGCAGATCTCCGAAGATATGTACCCTGCCGTGGCTCGGACGTCCATTCCCTTGCATGTTTCGGTTTCGCGCGTGCTTTTCTTGCTCGATTGTCCAGGATGCTCCTCGATGATCCTCGCCGAGAAGAAATGCACACGTCCGAGCGATGCCAGGCAAGTGGGCTCGTAGATCTCTGAGGATACGGTCGGACATGGGCCAGAAGCACACCCCTCAGGAACACGAGCCCCGCCGCCAGCCAGAACACGCACAGCATCCAAGGGCACCCTCCCCAGGATGCACAGGAGCACCCGACGAGCACGCGAGGAGCATCAGTCGGGGGCGCGCAAACATGGATTCGCAATCCATGGATTTGGCCCTCCCCAAGAATCAGCCGATGCCGCCTCGCTCGGTGGCGGAAGTCCAAGATTTCCCATGGAAACGGGACCCGTCGCTAATCCACCCCCCCTTGATCCATGTTTGCGATCGCCTGAATCCCAGACCCCCGAGGTGATTTTTTCACAACGTCGACCCCCAGAGGTCTGGACTCCTTCCCGGGGACCGGTTTGTCGTCCTGAATAGTTGTTTGACGGTCCCGAGGCCTGGTAGGGGCCCCCAGAGGCCGAAAATAATGAAAAGACTCCCGTCATCATTTTTTCGCGACGCGAGGGGGTCTAAGGCAGCCTCCCCGACCTGATCCCTCGGACCGACCGCCTGTGCTCTCCACCCCGCCGCCGCTGGCCTCGCTCTCGGCTCCCGGGGCCAGCCGCCGGGCCCGGGGATCCCTCACAGGAAAATCCAGGAGGCGCAAAACTACCCTTCGGTCGGGAATGTCCTCCTACAGGGGGATCTTGGACGAAACATTAAACATAATCCAAAAATATTCCAACATCATCCCAGGATAAACAAAAAATCGTCCCGGAAAGGGGTCGGGGGGAGCTCCGAGGGCCGCGGAGCGACAGAAGGGGGAAGGGGCTCACGCCGGAGGATGCCTGGGGCTCGGCGTCGTCCGAGGGGGGGCCAAGTCCGGCTGGAGGCCCACCAGATGGAGCCCCTCGGCTCCAGCTGGACTCAAGCGTCGCCCGAGTCCCGTCGCCCCGCCCCCGTTCACCACCAGACGAGCTGAGGGGCAGCGGTCGGGGGGGGGGCTGGCATAAGGGGGGGGGGAAACATCGGCGCGGAATCGGCGATACTTCGCCGACAGATCGGCGATGGGCCCCCGATGGCACATCCGCACCTTCCTGGGCAGGGCGGGGCTATCAGAGCAATGTCGGCGATCAATGGGCGATTGGGGGTCGATGCACCCCCTACAGTATGCCTGTCCTCCCCAATCGTTGCCCCTGACGAGCGCATCGTGACCTCGGCTACCAAATGTTGCCCTCGGCCCTGGAGGGTCGAGGCTGAAGGTTTTCGAACGCATCTGGCCACCCCCGTCGTGCTTCCGAAGACTTCCAGAGGACCTCTGGAGGCCTCCCAGGGCACCAGGGTCCCGGGAGCATCTCCAGACATCTAACGTCTTGCAACAATCAAGACGAGGGCGCTTCTCAACTTGCGGCATCTGGGGGTCAACCTCAGGATCTGGGGCCGTCGGAAAGCGGCTCGGGAGAAAACCCTGGCCTCGGGGGAAGGGTCGGGGCATCCAGGGACCCCGGATTAAAGTTAACAGGACACTGGATGTCTGGGTCCACCATCAAAGCAGCGCGCCATAGCATCAGGCATTGCATCCAGACGTAGGTAATTTACATACCTACAGCACACATGCCACTGCATACTCCATCCATTTCGTACGTAGCATGCTCCCTCTTCCGTCCTCACCCCCCACTCCCTCCTCCCTCCGTCTCTCTCAGTCCTCCTCTTTCTCCTCCTCCTCCTCCTCCTCCTCCTCCTCCTCCTCGTCTTCCTTTTCCATTTTCCCCAAGCAGTGCTTGCACTTAGGGAGTCTATTTCCCAACCAGCCTGTGGTGTTGGGTCCTCGTTCTGAAGAGACGTCCACGCGTTCCTCCTCTCCTCCTCCCCCTTCCCTCCTCTTCTCATCATCATCATCCTCCTCATCATCATCAGCATCATCGTCATCATCATCAGCAGCATCATCATCAGCATCGTCATCATCGATATCCTCATCATCGTTACCGCCCTCATCACCACCATCGTCATCATCATCGCCGTCGCCACACCCATTTCGGAACACCCCTCTCACGTTTCGTGGCCCCATAGGGAGCCCCACCCAAGGCCCCAGTGGGAGTAGCCACATGCGCCCGCCACACCCAGTACAGCGCATCGTGGCCCCATAGGGAGCCCCACCTGCGGCCACAGTGGGGGTAGCCACATGGGGGGGTGGCCACATGCGTCCGCCACACCCAGTACAGCGTTGCGTGGCCCCATAGGGAGCCCCACGAAAGGCCCCAGTGGGGGTGGCCACATGCGTCCGCCACACCCAATACAGCGCTTCGTGGTCTCATAGGGAACTCCACGTAAGGCCCCAGTGGGAGTGGCCACATGCGTCCGCCACACCCAGTACAGCACATCGTGGCCCCGTGGAGAGCTCCACCGAAGGCCCCAGTGGGGGTGGCCACATGCGTCCGCCACACTCAGTACAGCGCTTCGTGGCCCCAGTGGGAGCTCCACGAAAAAACCCAGAGGAGGTCGCCACATGCGTCCGCCACACCCAGTACAGCGCATCGCGGTTCCATAAGGAGCTCCATGTAAGGCCCCAGTGGGGATGCCCACATGCGACCGTCGCACCCAGTACAGCGTTTCGTGGCCCCATAGGGAGCTCCCATGGCCCCAGTGGGGGTGGCCACATGCGTCCGCCACACCCAGTACAGCGCTTCGTGGCCCCATAGGGAGCTCCACGTGAGGCTCCAGTGGTGGTGGCCACATGCCTCCGCCATACCCAGTACAGCGCTTCGTGGCTCCATAGGGAGCTCCACAGAAAGACCTCAATGGCACCGCCCGCATGCGTCGTCCACCACCCAGTACTGCATTTCGCGGCCCCATTGATTGGGAACTCCACCAAAGCCCAATGGCACCGCCCGCATGCGTCCCCCCCACCCGGTACAATGTTTCGTGGTGGCCCCGTAGGCAGCTCCAGTGGTCCGCCCGCATGCGACCCCCCACCCTGTGCAGCGTTTCGTGGCCCCATAGGGAGCTCCACCGAAGGCCCCAGTGGCACTGCCCGCATGCGTCCCCCTCTCCCGTGGCCCCATAGGGAGCTCCACCGAAGGTCCCAGTGGCACCACCCCCATGCGTCGACCACCACCCAATGCAGCGTTTCGTGGCTCCTTAAGGAGCTCCACAGAAAGACCCCAGCGGCACCGCCCGCATACGTCTCCCCCAACCAGTACAGCGTGTCGTGGCCACATCGGGAGCTCCAGCGAGGGGCACCGCCCGCATGCGCCAGCCACACCTAGGACAGCGTTTCGTGACCCAGAGGGGGCCCCACCGAAGGCCCCAGTGGCACCGCCCGCATGCGTCTCCCCCACCCATTACGGCACGTCCCTCATGCGTTTCGTGGCCCTAGAAGGGGGCTCCACCGAAAGCGGCACCCACAACGCGTTACTCACAACAGCATATGGTTGGGTCCTTCGCCAGGATAATTATTTTTCTTTTTGCGCCTCGCAGCGGGGCGCTGCAGCGCGGTCTATGCGACGGGTGTCTGACACCCCTGGCCGACCAGAACGGGAGCCCACGGGAGGGAGGAGGGAGGAGGGGGGAGGGCTCAAGAGGAAGAACTCCCTGGCAAGGAATGGCGCGGTGGGGCGGCCGACAGGGCACGCGCCTCGCGGGGCCTGGTCTCCGCCGCCCATCGCGGCTCTCGCTCGAGCTCGGGCGGGGGCGGGGGAAGGCCTGGCTGCGTCAGGGGACCTGCGCGAACTCCTCGGAGAACTGCCGCATCCTCTCGGCCAGGGCGGCCAGCAGGGTGCCCTCGCCGCCGGGCCAGGCCTTCGCGCCCAGGGCGTCCTCGATTGCCACCCGCCGGCCGGCGTCCACCGTGCTCAACCCTGTGAAGGAAACGTCCACCACCGGGGCCTTCAGCGAGTCGCACCCGGCCTCGAAGGAGGTGTTCTGACTGAAGTCTCCGATGGAGAGTGTACCATCTGCCGAGAGCTGCCCCTCAGAACCCATCCACTTGAACTCAAGCTTCAGCTTGAGGTTGAGGTCCCACAGGTGCCGCGTGACTCCCCGAACTACCGGCTTGGAGGCTTCGCCGTCCAGGGCCTCCACCTCCGAGACCGACAGAGTGCCTCCAGAGACCTCGACCGATGGGAAGTCTTCCAGCCTCGCGCGCAACATCGCCTTTGCTGTTGACGAGACGTCCTTGTCCTCCCACGTGCCCGCGGTGTTCCAAGCAGATCCGGCGCCAGGCTTGGAGGCGTCGGCGGCCGACGCGGCGGCCGCCGCGTCGCCAGTGAGCTGGACGGGCTTGAAATCCTTCTTCGGCTCGCCGCTGGGCTTCCACTCGCGGTGCCTGTACCAGGTCAGGTCCTCCGCCTCCTCGTCGTCGATCACGACCTTGGAAAGAGCGTGTTCTGCCGCTGCTGGCAGAAAATCGGGGTGGGCCACTAGGGGTTTCCAACCCGTCCCCCCTACTGAGGGTTCAAAACCTCCCCCCCCCTATCCATCATGACAAGAGGGGGGGGTCACTACCGGTTCGAACCCCCTCTCCCCCATCCTCTCCCCCTCTGGATGGAGGACTGTGGTGGGGACACTGGTGGGGATGGTGGTGGGGAGTGGGGACACTGGTGGGGACAGTGGTGGGGACAGTGGGGAGAGTGGGACCGTGATGGGGGCACTGGTGCGGACAGTGGGGACAGTGTGACAGTGGTGGGGGCACCGGTGAGGACAGTGGTGGGAACAGTGGGACGGTCGGAGAGTGTTGGGGACAGTGGGGACAGTGGGACAGTGGTGGGGACGGTGGGGGGGTGGGGACAGTGGTGAGGGGACAGTGGGACAGTGGTGGGGACAGTGGGGACAGTGGGACAGTAGTGGCGACGGTGGTGGTGGGGACAGTGGCGAGGGCAGTGGTGAGGACGGTGGGGGGACAATGGGATAGTGGTACAGTGGGGACAATAGGGATAGTGGGACAGTGGTAGGGACAGTGGGGACAGAGGGGACAGCACAGTGGCACAGCGGCGGGGACAGTGGGGACAGTTGGACACTGGCGGGGACAGTGGGGACAGTGGGACAGTGGTGGGGACAGCGGGGACAGTGGGGAGAGTGGGACCGTGGGGGGACAGTGTTAGGGACAGTGGGGACAGTGCGACAGTGGTGGGGGCACTGGTGGGGACAGTGGGGACAGTGGTGGGAACAGTGGGGACAGCGGGACAGTGGTGGGGACAGTGGGACAATGGTGGAGACAGTGGTGGTGGGGACAGTGGTGAGGGCGGTGGTGAGGATGGTGGTGGGGATCCAGGAGTCGTTGGCCGACGGCGACTCGGGGGTGGGGGTCGAACCGGTAGTGACCCCCCCCATTTTCCGGAGGGGGGGGGTCAGGAGAGGGGGGGGTTCTTGCTGGGGGAGGGGAGGGGAGGGGGGTTCGAGCAGGGGGGGAAGGATTTTCGGAGGGGAAGGGGTCCCAGGGTTCAGGAGGAAGACGGCGGGAATTCTCCACAGCAAAACAGCGGTGGATCACGCTCTCTCCGACCTTGTCGTCTCCCTTCGGCCGGGCGGGAGTCTTCTCGCCGTCCTGTTTCCGATTGTTGGCATCTTCCTTTGGCTTGAGCTCCTCTGGCTTCTTGCACACCCGCTTGTGGAACTGCCAATCCTCTCTCTGGCACTGCTGCGAGCAGTACTCCGCCTTCTTACAGACGCCGCACCGGAGCGGTTTCACAATCTCCTTGGCGCAGTTGCCACAGTGAGGATTCTCATTGGCTTTTTTAGCCGGAGAGTGTTTGGCTGACGGCTTCTCGTCGTCGGAATCTTCGATGGCATCGAACTTGGAATAGTCGACGCCAGCCCTCTTAGGAGGACTGGCCGTGGCCTCGGCGTCCGGCGCGATCTGCGTCATCCGCGCACCTCGCGGGGGTGCCGTGAGACCCGCGAGAGGCAGGGTGCGGCCACGCCCCCCGCGCCGGGCACCACCCAGCGATCAGGCCGAAAACGGCACCCCTTGGGCCAAAATGGCGACGGAACACTTAGGGAATCTCATTCTGCTCTAAGGGACCGAGACCGGCTGGCGCGGCTATGCTGCCGCCGTCGCCGCTCCCTCGCCGCCTCGTCGCCGCCTGTCGTCTGGGTCGGGCTGGCGGTCTGGCGGCTAGGTTGCCGCCGTCGCCACCCAATCGCCGCCTCGTCGCCGCCCGTCGTCTGGGTCTGCATTCTGCGCATTGTTTTGCATTGCTATTCCACGCTTCGCATTGAAGTGCATTGTTTTGTTTTACAGTGGTCGCGACTTGGATGGCATCATTTTCACTGCACCACATAGATTGCTTAACATTACTTACACCACGCACGCAAGTATACATACATTGCACCACATCGATTCTCCTTTCTAAAAAAATAGACTCGACCCCCCCCCCGTATTTAACGCTTCAGCCTGGGATAATATAATTTCATATATATATATATACCTATACGACCACCCTTCTGGTGATAAGGAGGTGAGGGGGGGGAGGGACCAACGTCGCACTCGATCGACCTCACTCTCGATATCACTATCGATCTCAATATCGATCCCACATTCGGTCTCACTATCGATCTCACTATCGATATCCCATTCGGTCTCACTATCGATTTCACGATCGATATCACAATCGATCTCACATTCGGTCTCACTATCGATCTCACTATCGATCTCACAATCGATCTCACATTCGGTCTCACTATCGATCTCACGTTCGATATCACTATCGCTCTCACAATCGATCTCCCATTCGGTCTCACTATCGATCTTACTATGTATCCCCCATTCGGTATCAGTATCGATTTCACCATCGATGTCACCATCGATCTCACATTCGGTCTTACTATCGATCTCACTATCGATCTCACAATCGATCTCAAAATCGGTCTCACCATCGATCCCACCATCGATATCACAATCGATCTCACAATCGATCTCACATTCGGTCTCACTATCGATCTCACAATCGAACTCACAATCAATCTCAATCTCACATTCGGTTTCACTATCGATATCACAATCGATATCACAATCGATATCACAATCGATCCCACATTCGCTCTCACTATCGATATCACTATCGATCTCACCATCGATCTCATTCGATCGATCCCACAATCGATCTGACTGTCGATCTCACTATCGGTATCACCATCGATCTCACGATCGATCTCAGATATCGATCTCGCAATCGATCTCACAATCAATCTCACATTCGGTCTCACTATCGATTTCACTATCGATCTCACATTCGATCTCACAATCGATCTCACATTCGGTCTCACATTCGGTCTCACTACCGATCACAATCGATCTCGCAATCGACGTCATCATCATCATCAACATCAACATTATCAACATCATCATCATCATCGCCATCATCAACATCATCATCATCATTACCATCATCATCACCATCATCATCATCATAATCATCATCATCAACATCATGATCGGGACACCGACGGGACACCGACGGGACACCGGCGGGACACCGGCGGGACACCGCGCGCCACCGGCCGCCCGGTGGAGAATCATTTGGTCCGGCCGCGCCTCAGCCACAAAGGACACCACCGTGACACCGGCGGGACACCGCGCGCCACCGGCCGCCCGGTGGAGAATCATTTGGTCCGGCCGCGCCTCAGCCACAGGAGACTTTCCTCTCGCCCGCCCCCGCAGCTTCGCCTCGCCCGCACGCACGGCACGCACCAACACGAAACCGAAATCGATTTCCCGGTAGGGGGGCTCTCCGTTCCACTTCGATCTCACCCCCTCACCTCCGACATATATATATATATATATATAAACATATATTCTGCACACTCGTCCATCCTTAATATGAAATCATACCAACCCAGGCACGCCGTTTCTCCCCCCTGAGGGTCCCTTGTAAAAAACACTATGCGGTGACATTTGTTGTTCTAACATAACACTTGTTCGCGAATCCCTTGCAAAAAACAACACGAAGTGCACACGCGCGCGTCGTCGCGCGCGCATGCCGAAATCCTTCAAAAACCTTCGGTGTCGGAAGGATTTCGCAATCGAGTTTCCAAAAACATACAAAACACACATGGTTTCGCAACACTGATTTGCTAAAAAAGCTTCCGCGCGAGCCCTTGCGAAATCTTAAGAAAATCATAGTTTTTTTCAAGATTTTCACAAAATGCTACCAAAAGGGGTTCGCGCGCGCGCATGTCGAAATCTGTCGAACGCCCTTGCGCGTGTGCCGTCGCGAGAATCCTCTGCAACAAATGGGACGAAGTGCAGACGCGCGCGTGGTCGCGCGCGTACGCCGAAATCCTTCAAAACCCATCGGTTTCGGAAGGATTTCGAAATCGCGCGTCCAAAAAACCTACAAAAACCCGAGGTTTCGCAACACGGATTTCAACAAAAGCGTGCGCGCGCGCTCTTGCGTCGTCGTCGTCGTCGTCGCCGTCCTCCCTCCTCCCGCGTCGTTGTCGTCGTCGTCGTCGCCTACGTCGTCCTCTGTCTTTCCTCGTGTTCGTCGTCGTCGTCCTCTTTGGCGTCGTGGTCGTTTCCGTCGTCGTTGTCGCCGTGGTCGTCCTTCCTCCTCCTCCCTCGTCGTCGTCGTCGTCCGTCGTCGGCGTCTCGTCGTCGTCCCTCCTATTTCGTCGCGTCGTCGTCGTCGTCGTCGTCGTCGTCGTCTTCCCTCCTCCCTCGTCGTTGCCGTCGTCGGCGTCGCCGTCCTTCCTCCTTCTTCGTCGTTCGCGTCGTCGCCGTCCTCCCTCCTCCCTCGTCGTTGTCGTCGTTGTCGCCGTTGTCGCCGTCGTCGTCCTCCCTCCTCCCTCGTCGTCGTCTTCGTTGGCGACGTCGACGTCGTCTTCGTCGTCGTCGTCGGTGTCGGCGTCGTCGTCGTCTTCGTCGTCGTTGTCGCCGCCGTCGTCGTCACCGCCGTCGTCGTCGTCGTCATCGTCGTCGTCGTCGGCGTCGTCGTCGTCGTCGTCGGCGTCGTCGTTGTCGTCGTCGTCGTCGGCGTCGTCCTCGTCGTCGTCGTTGTCATCGTCGTCGTCGTCGTCGGCGTCGGCGTCGTCGTCGTCGTCGTCGTCGTCGTCGATGTCGTCGTCGTCGTCGTCGTCGTTGTCGGCGTCGTCGAAGTCGCTGGAGACGTCGTCGGTGTCGTCGTATTCGTTGTCGGCGGCGTCGTCGTCGTCGTTGTCGCTGTCGTCGTCGGCGTCTCTGTCGTTGGCAAGTGCCATTTGGTACCCACCATCACGGTCTTAAGAGAGTTTGCGAACCAAGTTGCGGGTGGGTGGGTGGGATGTTTGCGCGAGCAGTGGAGTGGTCAAGCGCGGTGCAGGGTAGCCAATTGCACCACATAGAGTGCACCGCACACCACATAGATTGCACCACATATTCCATACCCCATGAGAGTGCTTAAAATAGATTGCATCAACGAGATGACACCACATGGCTTACATCGCGGATACTGCACCACGTATATTCTCCTTTTCTGAAATACGACGAGATTATACCCCCCCCCCGGGATTATGGGTATCCTTTTTCGTGTTGCAATGTGCATACGATTGTGCCCCATCACCCATCCGCAATATGAACGCATACCATCCCATGGGAACCGGTATCGACACCCCCCGCCATCCTGTGCAAAAAACTGTGCGCGCGCACTCGTTCATCAAAATCATCATCAGTTTTCTTTTTCTTTTTTTTTTTACCCCCCCCCCCCAAAAAAAAAAACGAAGTGCACACGCGCGCGTCGTCGCGCGCGCATGCCGAAATCCTTCGAAAACCTAGGGTTTCGCAAGGATTCAAAAAACACAGGGGCTCGCAAGACGAATTGTTAAGAAAACCATGGTACTTAAACTTGTCCATGAAATGTTAACATGGGGGTTTCGCGCGCGCATGTCGATACCGACCTTGCGCGCATGCTGTCCCCAGAGTCCTTTTGCAACAAGTGGTGACGAAGTGCACACGCGCGCGTCGTCGCGCGCATGCCGGAATCAGTCAGAAACTCCAGGTTTCGCGAGGATGTCGAAACCGAGTACCCCGAAACCATACAAAAACACATGGTTTCGCAACATCAGATTCCCAAGAAAACTTGCGCGCGCTCTTGCGAATTCTTACACAAAAAAACGGCTGTTCAACATTCTCATTGAATTCTGCCAAACGGGCCTCTCGCGCCGCATGCCGAAATCATTCGCACGCCCTTGCGCGCGTGCTGTGGGGGGGGGGGGCACGATGGGTGTCAAAGAATACCACGCGGGCCACTCTCGCACGTCGGCCGCGCGCGCATGTCGAATTCCTTCCAAAACCATCATCACCGACGCGAGCACGCCGTCATCGTCGTCGGCGTGATCAGCATCCGCGCCGTCACTGGCCGTGCCGCCGTCGCTGTCAGCATCGTCACCAGCATCGCCACTATCAGCATCGCGTCTACGTTTGTCGCGCACGCCCAAACTACCTTCTTCATCAGCATCATCATCATCATCAGCATCATCATCATCAGAATCAGCATCATCATCATCATCACCATCATCATCATCATCATCATCATCATCATCATCAGCATCATCAGCATCATCAGCATCATCAGCATCATCAGCATCATCAGCATCATCAGCATCAGCAGCATCATCATCATCATCATCACCATCATCACCATCATCATCATCATCATCATCATCATCATCATCATCATCATCATCATCATCATCATCATCATCATCATCGCACTATCAAACGCCCTTGCGCGCGTGCCGTCGCGAGAATCCTCTGCAACAAATGGGGGCGAACTGCACGCGAGCGCGTCGTCGCGCGCGCACGCCGAAATCCGTCAAAAACCGTCGGCTTCGTAACGATTTCAAAAGGCCCAAAAACTTTTAGACCTTTACGACCACCCTGCGGGTGAT